AAATCAGGCTGGTGGAAGAAAATAGCTACGCAAAGTATACTTTACAATAAGAAGTAATTGAGATGCAACAGCAAATTCAAAATAATTACTTGTCTAAGTAGGTTTTCATTGGCACCAATGTAGCAAACCAGATCTTTATGATTTGGTTTAGTTTTCATTTTAAGAGTATTCTTGCTCTAGTTAAATGTTCAGTATCATCAAATGTTCAGTCAAATATTTTGTATGTTAAAATTCTATCTGTATGCTTTTATTTATATGCTTTAATTTCCTTGTTAGGCTGAATGCTACAAATACTTTTGAAAATAACTGTTACTCATGTATAGATATGTTTACATACTTGGGCTGTAAGGTGGAAAATATCTCTTAATGAGGAAAACTAAAACTAAAAATGAAAGGAGAACTATTAGAATAAAAGCAGAAATAAGCAAATACCTTCAAAATAAAACAAAAGCTAATATATTGATATTACAGGCAGATTATGAGTATTTACTTACCACCAAAATGCTCAGAGTGAGCTTTCGGCTGTATCGTATAGACATAAAATGGGAAAGTACTGAGGACAGCGTCCTTCCTTCTATGCCTCATCAGAGTTTAAGTTTTCTTGCTGCATATCCTGAAAAATGTTGCAGAAGAGAAATATTTTAAAAAGAGGGAAATTGAGAGCCAGGTTCATATCATCTGCAAACGAGAAGGCCACATTTACCACTCCAGTCCCAAAGAATCATTAAAATCCGTTGGGAGCTACGAAAAGAGTAACTCTTTGCCATCAAAGACCTTGCTTACAGCATTTTCCACGACAGTGAGATTAGATGAAAACACAATAAAGCTGATTTGCTTTGATCAGCTCTTTCAGACTACATGCTCGGGATCTGTACCAAAAAGCACAGACAAAATCCTGGCCTCACTGGCATCAACAGCTCTGCCACTACGTTCGTGTACACCAAGATTCATTGTAGGTTTTTATAAGACTGTGCCATTAAGAGATAATTTTCTATGTAGAACAATCAGGTTTTGTCACAAAATATAGGTCCAAATTAAAAAAAAATTAAAACTGCAGCCACAACAGTTGGCAAATAGAAGTTCATTTGTCAAGACTTACCATACTCAGCAGACTATTCAGCCTGAATCCGGAGCTGTCAAATCCACTTAAACACCTTTTGCAGTCAAAAGATAAAACATGGGTTTCTATTTTATCCTTCTCCAGATACAATCTTCAGAGAAGTTCTGATTTTTAAAATTTTCTTGTTTAATTACTTTGAGTATTTGAACTTTTGAAATGTTTTTCTTAAAATTCACACGTGATACAACTTACGGGATTGAGAGCCACATGGCTCTTTAATATTGGGATTCAAAATATTGTAATGGTGTGCTTTCATTATTTTACGAGTTCAAGTCAGGTAGGTTTTTGTTTCTTCTGGGCACTTTGGTCATGTACTGACATGTATAGTATAATGAAATAAATACTCTTGAAATACCATTACAGCATGATGCAGTCAGGTTAAATGGTCAAGACTGTCTTGAGGCCATGAAACACTAGAAGCAGATTGTGTGAAATGTGCTTGTTTTTAACAGTTCACAGCAGATAAGATATGTGCATTATTCACATTGAGGTGGCAAAAAAATGGAAACGCCTTTTAGAAGCATCACATCAAGCCCTTTGGGACAAAAAAAAAAATTACCATCAGAGCAGAGGAAAATCAGAAGCATGTTCTGTTTGCTTCATGCTGCTCCCAAAAACTGGGCTCCATGGTGTCTGAGTATTCCTTTAGCATATACAAATATTTAGATGGTATTTTGCCAGCGATGCTGGTTCATGATTACTTCATCTCCAGTCCTGTTGCAGGCTTGTTGGACAGCTGAAGAAGGACTAGTCAGGGCTCTGTGACATTCTAGTGACATAATATCGTGCTAGAAGACATTAGTTAATCCAGTTTAACAGAAATTACTCGAGGCTTCTCAATCATGTACTGAATTTTGCTAAACAATGAATGAAGTGGATGAAGTGGTCACAGTTGAGCCAGATCAGGCTGTAAGAAGGGTACCCACGGAGGGGAGGGACAGATGAAGAAGAGAGCACCAGGAAAGAAGTTTGGAACAATCAGGCTTTCTGCTACTTCTGCCCATTGAGAAATGATAGTGAGGGCTCTTGCTGGCATAGTCAGGTCATGCTACACCACAGCAATCAGCACCTCTAAGCCCCAATTCTTCATTCACTGTCCCTTCAAAGTGGCCTGGCAACCTCATGTAGCTCTGAAGCTGTCACCACCTATGCAATGGTAACAGCAGTGACAAAGGGGTGGAATACCCCTTTGGCTTCCCTTCTTAATAGTGCTTAAACTCAGTATAAAGGGGGTATCTTTCTTCATGATATTTCTCTTCACAGTTATAATACAATAAGGAATTTCCTTTGATTGATTATAGCCTACTTACCTGTGGTTTTAAATAGCTCTCATATAGACCTTTATTCTTTCAAAAAAATGCTAGGCCTCATTTTTCAGATTGAAATACTGAGATCAGACAGCTGAGAACTCTTGGATTACAAACAGTGACAGAAAAAATCCAAAGATCTGGATATCCAGCAATATTTGTGACTTCAGTTGGTGCAACTGTAACATAGCCTTTATATTCATTTCAGCCTTTGACTCTTGCAAAGATTACCAATTTTAATGCCAGTTACTGTCATGTTGGAAGCATATGTGAGCTGGGGTAGCTGGGCCCAACTTAGTCAAATAAATATGCAAGTATACAGGGTTACCTCCCAGAGATGTCAAAGATACTTACATATGTTTAAATAGTAGGTGCACAGAAATGTAACTGTGTGTTGAAGCATCCAATGTCTAGATTCCTTAAGATAAAATATGAAACGTTGTTATTCCTTTACAAAAAAAAAATTAATTTTAGCAGTGAATTTATAAAATTTAAATGACATTTTGAATGTTCCTAATCATAGCTTTTAAGACACTTACTCTATTTAGAAAATACATACAGTGTAATGGCATTAAAATGTTAAATAAGCACTTGGTAAAGTTTGTAGCAAATGAGGCAAGAAAGCTTGCTGTTAATTTTAATTTTTAAGAGTTATCTCAGATGCATCACTGTACACATATTTTACATTGGTATCATTTCAGTTTTGAGATGCAGTCACCATAAGAATAGTTCAGGTACTGAGACCATCAACTTCAGAAGACTGCAAGTCTAGAAGTGTACTGCATGGTATGTCACATACCTGGAATTCTGGACAAAAAAAAAATACCATGCATCCCACGCAAATAGGTATAAATATGCAGAGGCCCCACTAAGCTTTTAAAGTTGCACCTGGCCAAAAAAAAAAAAAAAAAAAAAAAAAAAAAAAAATTTGTCCTGAGGGTAAACATCATTCATTAATAATAGGAAATATCCTGAAGCCAAGAACTTGCTACTAAACACACAAGCAGAATAGTTACTTAATTAAGAAATTATTTGCCAGCTATGTTTTAAGGTAGGAATTAGCAGTGAAAATGAAAGAATGACAATGTTTTGCTTATGGAAGACACACAATCCCAACCATAGTTAACATGCTTTTTCTTGCTACAATTAGATTTTTTTTCTGTAAGATTTAGGGGATATGTGAGATTTATTATATCTATTTCAGTTAAACACCATATCATTTGTATTCCCTAAAGGGCAAAAAATTGCCTTTTCATTCCTTGCCTTAATCAAAATCTAAATATGTCAGTGTAAGCATGGAAAAATAAAAGTGGCTGGAGAGAAATAAACATCAATTATTTACAACCTTGAAAGAAAATTCTTTCTTAACTGTAACTGTAGCACACATAGCTGTATGTGGGCTAGTTTCAGTTTAGCTAAGGACAAGCAGCTGTACAATATTCAAACTTCCACTTCAGCCATCCTAGTTCACCGATTTAGCACTAGTTACAGGCAAAGATGGAAAATAGAAAACAAGGTTAGAGCCATTGCAAATGGTGTCCAACTGCATTGTTCTACCAACCAGTCCCTCCCACCTATCGAATTCGGAGCCAGAGCTGCATCCTTTCTCCCCACTCCCCTCAGCCTCTTTAGCTGTGACTGTCATAAGTGAGCTGAGCTCGTTGACACTTAAGATGGAAAGGAGGACAGCAGTTAGCATTGGGTCCCCTTTGTGTGCATCCAGGTGAAAAATGATGGGTCCACAGGAAAAAAAAAGGTATGTATTTCTGTGGAAAACAGATTAATATGTTTGCTTATAATGCAAAAGCTTTCTGAGGATATTTGAAGAATCAGGTGACCAGCTGCAATCACTGGTAAAAGAGCCTTCAGGATCCATAGCCACCGAGCTTAGGTTTTGAAGGTATCATAGTATATGTCAGTCCTTGTTCTCTATTACAGCCTTTGAAAGGATAGGAGTGGCTGATAAGCATGGAGAAACTATACAGCTTTCATACTGGTATGTCTTTTTTGACCTCCTTATGCTGGGCAATCTTGCCATCAACTGAAATTTCAGTTGGTCCAGTCCATGGGTGAGTAAATATCTTTCTACTCCAGCAGTAACAGGAATCCCTCGTTATAAGGAGATTCATTCAGGTCTGAAAGGGATCCTGCAGACACAGACCACTATGATGATGTTGAAAATGTGCTGCTCAGTACCAAAAGCTGCCAAAGTATGACAGATGTGCAGAAGTACAGGGGTGAAAGGTGTGTGGTAGTGATGGGAGAAGAGAGTGAACACAACGGGGCTGGTGTGTGGGGGGTGTGTCGGGGTGAGAACAGTCCTCTTCCATAAATGTGCAGGTATGGATTAGGATTTCTGTGTGGAAATGGCTGTCCGAGACCAAACCTAGGGTGCATGTGTATAGCCTGGGGAGGAGGAGAGGGGTGGGTGGATGCCGAGAAGGGGGAGCCAGGATTGCTGTTCTTCCCCTTTTTCCTTGTCTCTGTCTGCTGGCCCCTCCTGACACACGACACCAATTCTCACAGGAGCTTACAGCCCAACTTCTCCCTCCTTTCCTCACAGAGCATCCAGCACAGGGAGCACAACGCAGCTGCCAGCGAGCCCAGGATAGCATCCTGCATCTCTGCAGAGCCTTTTGCTTAGGAACATCGAGGTAAGGACCCCTTGTCCTCTCAGTGTCTATGAGAACCAGAATTCCTGCCCTAAAGTAGCAGGAGCTGAGAAACCCTGCGGACACGGCTGTGTTAGGGACTTCTGTGAGATGCTTAGTTCTCGCAGGTTCATTCTTGACACTAAGATGCCCTTTTGCTACGCGTTGTGCCTACCTGGGGAGAGCTTGCAGAGAGATGACAATGAAACAGAAGTGGGGCAGCCTGTGAGCCCAGGACAAACAGCTCTGGTCCCTGCAGAAGGAAAAAGTCCTGTCAACAGGTAGCTGTCAAGTTTTGGCTCAGCACTCTGGGTCCACATATCCCCAGGGCTGCACAGCAGGTACACTCATGCCTGGACAGCACTCTCAGACCAGGACTGTTCCTCTGTAGGACTGCTGAGGACAGGGGGGGCTGTGACAGCACAGAGAAGTATGCATGACCCTCAGCTCCTAAGTAAAGAGAACAGGGAAAAACTCAGGTCTGCCTCTGTACCTCCATCTCTCCATGCCAGCTCTGGAAAAATCAGGTTTAAAAAAAAACACCCCTGTGAATGATACTTGGGATTCATGCTGCATCCACATGGGTATAGTCAAGGTTAAGATTTCTCTGAAGTGATGGTTGTACAAACACTACCCGGCAGTGAGAGAGAACTGAAGTATGTTTGTAAAATGTCTATCTCCAGTTTGTCATGTACTAGAACTATATGCGCAATGCTTGAAAATCACACCAGTATGTCTCTGTTTAGTATTTTTTACATCTTTTGGAGAAGATCTTACCAAAAGGAAAATAAAATCAGCTAGTTTTTAGGGACTATATTTTAAAATACAGCCTGCTAAGCAACTTGTTGATGTAAAATCGAATAATACTTCATTGTTCTCATACTGCTGTACTTCTGTGTTATTATTTGTGTCGTTTAGGAAACAGAAACCAAACAAATTATGTTCTTCAGATTGTGGTGGCTTTTGTGGATACTTGAACACCATGAGGTTTTATCAGAAAATCTCAGGGAAGAAGAAAAATACAGATTGAGAAGACCAAAACCTAAACAGATTCTGTCAAATATTGTAGAAAAATATCCCAGCCCAAGTGATCAAGGTGAATATTGTCATTTTAAAACAGGTGTGGGGTTTTTTTTGCCCTGATTCATTTATTTGGGTTCTGGACTACATGGGTAACTTGCCCTCTAAGATATTGTTTACAATCAGACAGCCTTGCCTCATCCTACACTTTCATGTGACTTATTTTTGCACTTTTGTCTTTTCACTCCCATCTTTTCCCTCCCCTTTTGTGTATTTCAGAAACGGAGATTACTTCTGGGCTTTTTCATGATATGGCTGATAGCCTGTTACTGTCACTACAAGAATAATAGCCCATATAACTGTATATCTATAGAAGTAGTGTCATCAGTAGTTCAGAAAATTGATACTCTACAGATCCTGCTTTTGGAAACTTTTATGTCACTGGATGTGAGTTTCAGCATCAGGGACAAAATTTACCTCTATCAAATCACATTGCAGTGTCTTATTCAGTAAGACTAATTTTCCTGGAGATGACTTCCACTTTCCCAGTCTTCATCCTGGTAGGATATTCAGTGAAATACCAGGCAAGAGAACAGAATGAATGTATGAAACCACTACAATATTCTTCATTTCATACTATATGACGTTATCTCACCTTCAGTTTCTTATTCCTTGGGGCATCCGTTCTGGACCACATTCCTCAGCCTCTATATGCTCTATCTTCATGAGGGTCTCACACTTGTTATCACAGGTGCTTTCAAAAAATTCCATAATTGCACTCCCACTTTTGAAGCCTAAAATACATGTAAGGATAGAATAAGATTTAGTATGAAATCACTCCACTCACCTACCTACCTATCTATTTATTCTAGATGAAGACTGCATTCTGGAAATTGCTTTTTTACTGGACAGCTCTGAAAGTGCTAAGGACTATAATCACGAACAGCAGAAAAAATTTGTACTGGAACTTGTAGACAGAACAAAAAGTCTGCAGCTTAGTTCTGGACGTACCCTTAGCTGGAGGATGGCCTTACTTCAGTACAGCAGCACTGTTTTCATAGAGCAGAATTTCCATGATTGGAAAGGTCCTGAAGCATTCAAATCCCACATTGCTCCCATCACCTACATAGGTCATGGCACCTATACAACTTATGCTATAACTAACCTCACACAACTCTATATGACTGAAGGGACACCAGGTAGTGTGAAAGTAGCTATGCTCTTCACCGATGGAGTAGATCATCCAAGAAACCCAGATATTTTTGCAGCTACAGCTGATGCTAAACACCATGGAATTGTATTTTTCACAATGGGAATGACCAGAGTGGCTGAGGAGGTTAGCAATGCTGCCAAGCTGCGGCTCCTGGCCAGCGTCCCAGCATCCAGGTTTGTTTTCAACCTCCAGGAGAAAGAAACTGTGGAGAAGGTTCTCAAAGAAATGGTAAGTATGAGAAAGAATTTGAAATAGTTATAGGAACATATGTAAAAATTGGTGTTATTTCCAATATTTTTAAATACTTGTACTATTGAAGAAACCTGTACTTTTTACATGTTAAAGGAACCCACTTATTAATAAGACCACTGTGCCAAAGTACAGGTTTCCTTTCTCTCCCCACCATTCAGACCTTGCCAGCCAAAACATTTGAAGTTGGAAACTGAATTAGACTTAGACTGTTCTTCCTCCTAGGAAAAGGTTTTAAAACTCCTTTCTTAAAAAAATAACCAATTTTTGACATCCTAGTGCTTTCTTCTGTAGGAAGCAGGAATGTGACATTGCCTTTTGTACCAAAAAAGATGCAGCTCTTGCAGAAATTAAAATAAATTTGTAGACCTTAATGGAGAGATGTCAATTTAGATAAAATCTGAATTGGCCATAAACATCTTTAAATTTCTAGGGAAAACCTACCACATAATCAAGAGGAAATGTGTAAATTGAACTTGAAGTTTTGCTTGGGTGCCTCTCTTCTGCATGTGAACTTAAGTTATAGGAAAAAAAAACACCCTGCCAAGTATGGAGAACAGAGGCATCCTCCAACTTATAAATCTGGTGACACAAGCTGTGGATGAAGTCCTGATCTGAGCATCACAGAGATATAAAACAGAAATATGAATAACAACCAGAAGACTTCTGCAGTGAAACTGACGCCTAAGTGATCTCATACAGGCCTAGAGCATGTACACAAGCTGGCCTTCCTGCGTCTCTGTTGTTCACTTCAACAGCCTGCCACTCTGCATTGCTTTCCCTGCATATCACCCTTCCCATCTTCTCTGGTTTCACCATTGCTTTCTGTATGGCAGCAACCACCACTCAAGTGACCAAACACACTTTTTTATCTGTTCCAAATAGGTAGCCATCCTCAGGTGCCTTATTTTGAGAACATGGCTGCTGTCTGGTTTAAATAATGGCTCTGGCATAATTATATGTGCATACATGTGAACTTTAGAGATGTATATTGCATTGCTGCTCATCAACACATTTATGTCCTCTCAAGAGACTACATCAGTTGTGAAAAGTGGGAGGAGGAATGCATTGTATGTGGGTGTTTCAGCTGTAGAGATCTTCTAAATAAATAACAGAGCTAATTTGATTATGATAACTTCATAGGATCACTGTCAAAGTCAAATCTTTTCTAAGGTTTTCTTACTGTTCTCATTTTGTTTGTGCTTAACAGTATGTATGGAAGAGTTTCTGGTTTTGTTAAGTGTAGAGTATGCATCATTCTCTCCTATGAGAGAGCTGCTGCCCTTCAGCACTTTGGAAATGATGTAGTTTCTGGGTGTGTTGTTCCCATACACCTAGCTAACCATGTTGTTTCACGTCTGTTTACCATTCCAATTTTAGCAAATTATGGCTTGACAAGGAGAATCAGTGATTTGTGCAGTCAACAATCTATAACTGAAATTATTTAAAGTATTGGTTTGAATTGAGAGATTTCTAGAATTAAAGCTTAATTAATGTTAGTTAATATGTTAATTGCATCATTTAATTAACTAGCTGCTGAAGCAATTTATTTTAGCATCTTTCAGTGTCCTTCTTGTAGAGCTGGATTATGACTTGAAGTTTCTAATGTTGTTTTGAATATCTGTCTTTACAGAAAGATCTGTCTGAGGAAGAGGTAAATATTTTTTTCCTGTACTAAACTACTGCCTAATATAGACATTTACAATTATATGGAAACATAATTCAACAAAAATGACAGCTCAGAAAGTTGGTTAAATATTGAGTCTAGTGAGACTGCCTTCAAATAAAACATTATTTTGTATTTGCAGGACAGAGCTTTAATTTGCTATCTTAATGTCATTTACTTTCCCTCCTTATTTTCAAAGTTGAAAAAGAACAATTAGTGAGTATTCAGGTTAGCAAGAATTTTCTGACACGTCTCAGAAAATCAGTGGATAAGAAAACATGATACAGAGCTGAATGTGGTGCAGTTCTAGCCATTAATGTTCTTCCCATGTAACAGAGTTTTAAAAAAGGAAGGAACTTCAACAAAGCTCCACCATTGCACTTTTCAAGTTTGTCCACACTGTGTCACCCTGACTGCAGGCATTGGTAGGTCTGGCTGCCATTTTGGGGGGAATAAAGTCAGCTTTCCTTTCAAAGATCTTAGTTCTACTTAAGGTACAGTTTTCTCAGGCAAAGACTGTTCTGATGACCAGCTCAAGGAAACTGCTAAATATTATGTGTTTGCAAAACTTGAAGCATTTTATTTTTCACTCATTTCCACTGGCATGTTGATTTTTCTCTGCCAAAAAAAAAAATCCTGAAGTAGTGAGATCCTGTCCTTGGGAAACATATTGTTACTAATTGGGATATTCAGAAAAGAATGATATTTAAGGCCTTCACTTCTAGGCATCTCCAAGCTGAGAGGAGGTTTAATAAATAAACCAAAATTAAAAACAACATTCTTTACTCCTCCTCCAAAAATAACCCAGTATCTGTAATAATTCTGTATTATGTAACAGTTTTAAAGTTTCAAAAAGCTTCGAAAAATCACACGACTACATACCATAATAATGTCTGACTGGGACATATGACAGTAGACATGACGGAAGAAAAAGTAAGATGAGAAACTATTATAATTAATTGCATTAACTAGATAAAAGTATACATCCATAACATGTTTTGCTTATAGGCCAAGCTCAAACTAATCTATAATCTATCCTACAGATAGTGGAGTAAAGTGGCAAAAGGATGCAAGATGTTTTCTTACCCCTTTGTCTCGGCTATCTCTACAGTGACTAGCAATAAAAAAATATCTACAATCATAGAAACAGCACACCAATAAACTGACCTTGTGAAGGGTTTGGAGGTAAAGCCATTATTGAGATGACCAAGAATGATACAGATTTTTGGATGGAGCGTAGGAGGCCACATTCCTGACGAGTGGCGAACTGACGGTTAAAAGATTTCTGTAAAACATGTAAATATAACTGGCTTCTGGTCATTAGTGGTGTACTCAGACTAGCCATACAGTAACTTTAAAAGTTCATGTGTTTTCTAAATGTTGTGAAAATGTGCTGATTTGGACTATTTTCATTGAAAGTGTCCCCAAGCTGCCACATGTAACTGTGAGAAGGGGGAAAGAGGACTTCCTGGCCCTGCTGTAAGTAGCTGTCATTTCTGAAATAACTGATATACAGTACAAATCAGGATTGATTTCATTGTTGGAATTTTTTTAGGAAATTGTTTGAACACAAATCCCGAGACAACCAAAGTTAAAGGTTCAGTACATAGTCCTCCATAGTTCATTGCATGGAAATGTCACACCATAGGAAACGCACAGAGAGACCCACAAATGCTATGAGACACTCCCTCTGAAAAAAAGAAGTGTGATGTGGTGAGGAGACAGCAGTTTAAAACACAGGAAGGTCCTGTGTGGAACAATAATTCACCTGTTACAATCAGACAACCAGACCAGGTGGATCTAACTAGCCCCAAGTCAAACATTAATATCTGAAAAGCTCTCTGAAAGGGAGAGAGAGCAAGAGGCTGAAGCACTAGGAACAATTGAGACAAGAGACTTGTAAAGAGGGTAAAATAGACTGGACTTCTTTCAGAATAGCCTCACAACTAGAACCCCTAGACAAATCTAAGGGATTGCTTCATACAAGGTTTGGTGTTCTAAACTGCAGTGTGTATGCTTCAAAAAGAACTCTTGGCGCTGAATGGTCTGATATTATACCCCTAACATCGAGCTAAAGCACCATAGTACCTTATAGCCCTTGCTCAAGGTGAAGAGACAGGGTGAGAGTTTGAAACAGAGCCCTAGAGAGCTGCCTATCCTCATCCTTTTGACCTGAACATCCTATACGTACATAAACAGAAATGCATACCAGTTTTATCCGGTACAGTACAGCAGGATAAACTGTACACTTTAATTGATAATTGAAAATGTAGCCTCTCGTGTACAAACAGTAGTTTTGTTTGGGCTAGTGTTCAATGTGTTTACTTGGAGAATGCAAGTACCTCTTAAACAAAAGCATACAACTCAAAGAGTTCATAAAAAACCAAAACTCCCATTTGGCAAGCTGGGTAGCTACTAAAACATCTGATCACCTCTTTTCTTCAGAGGAGAACTGAACAATTTTTGTTTACAACAAAGACAAAAGACAAAAATGTCTGCCTATTGAGTTGGTCCTGCTGCTCGCAGACATTCAAGGCAGAGATTTTTAAAAATAAATCTACAGGAAGCAAATATCCTAAATACATAAAAAAGTGTACATATTGTAAAATAAAATTATTTTACTAACATATAAGAATTTTATTTTGCTGTTTTCAGGGTAAAAAGGGCCGCACTGGGGATGATGGAGCTCCAGGCCTGAAAGGAGCAAAGGTGATGTGATTTTTCAGATTTAGGAGAAATATTTGGTACTTCATTAATATGGAAATACTATCCTAATAGTGCCCATGTACTTTCCACCTGTGAATTTCTTAAACTTCATCTATCCCCTTTTGCTGTAGTAAAGACTAAGATTCTTTCCAAATTACAATCTTATATCTAACATAAAATCATCAGTGTAAAAAGAAAAAAGAGGGAGCTGGTATATTCCCTGTATTGCATTGAGATATCTACTCAGATAATCAGGACAATACTATCTTATCCTGATTTCACTGACCTTGATGTTGGATTACTCATAGGGGGAGCCAGGTCTTAATGGAATCCCAGGACGAGATGGAATAGAGGTAAAAAAAAGATTTTTTTTTTCCCCTTCTCCAATGAGCAATGTTTCTTCAAGGCAAAACACCACTTCTTTTTTTTTAATTATAATAGCAATTTTCAGTTCTGATTTACCAGCTAATGATTCATTAATACTAAAAGAACTGAAAACATCATTGCTTAAAGAAAGGGAATAATTCCTTCTTATAAGAGTGATCTAGAAAATATTCTCTAATAATACATAGTCATTCCTAAAAAGTGTGAAAAGCTCTGACGAGAATGTTACAGAAATTGACACTTTGCCTGCATCTTTATGGGTCAGTTTAAATTTTTAATTTGGCAAATAAAAGATCCAGTGTGTAACAGCAATGAAAATGTTGAATTAAATACATCTAGGAAGAAACTGTAGGACGAGCCTCTTAGTGCTTAGCTCTGAATTCATTCACTTATGAAACACTCTACTTTATATTTTCTTATTTATTCAGTATATCCTTTTTAATTAGTGACTTTTTAAATTCCCTTATTTTAGCATGTTTCTCACTAAGACGGAAATATGAACTCCAGTTGATCTGCTTTTACATCACCAAAATCCCAGTTTAAAATTACACTTTCATAAGATTTGTCACACATACAACGGTATCTATTATGACCAGTAGGTGCTGTATTTAAAGTCATATTGCCATGTTTATCAGAGATCACCTTTTCTACCTAATTGTTCATTACAACCTGCAATGCTGTTTTTCTAGAGAGAGTAGAATGTTAATAGTGCCAATACTTATATTCTTATATTTGAGTGTATATCCTCACAATCTGCTTCGCTTTTTTGTTTTCCCAGGGGAAATCTGGATATAAAGGAGAGAAGGTACTACTTTTATTCAGAACTTCTGCTTACATATAGATATTTGATGTTGTTATTATTATGTATAGTGCCATATTTCTTATAAATACTAGTAATGAACAATAACATCATCTTAGTAGCTGCTGCACAAGCTCTAATAGAAGATGTGTCCCTTCCTCAATGAACTTAATAGCACAATTGCTATAGTATGTCATGAATAGAATAACATTTAGGTTTTCAACTCAAGCACCCAAAGAACAAGGATGATATGCTCAATACACCTCATAAATATTCCTGTTCCTTTCCAGGGTGAAAGAGGTGAATGTGGAATCCCAGGGACAAAAGGAGACAGAGTAAGTAGCCACAAAGTTGTTATGCTTTCAGAAAACACAGTTAAAATACAGAAAAACTACAATTCCCTGAATAACAACCATGGTAACAGATTTAGGGCAAATATTAATTCTAAGGCTGAGGGAAATTAAGAACTGAGAGTTTTAAAAAATGAAGTGAGCAAGGATACCATTTTCAGTAACTCTCTCTGCTCCTTCTATATTTTCATGTGATACCGCCAAAGGCCCAAGCCTGAGCCTGCCCATAACAACGGTAAAACTCTACTTGACTTTAACCGAGGCAGAAGGCTTGAAGTAGTAAGCAAAAAGAATGAGAGGTGAAAAGAAAATCAAGGTTTCTAACACTGATCTTCAAGATTTGGGGTATAATTGTTGTGAATATTTTAAAGTAAACAAACAGAGTTTAATCCTGCATTACTGGTCCTTGATAATTAACTCTGTTCATTCTTACTCTGTATTCTGATTACCACAGACCATTTTAAAAATATGTATTCAATATTTGCTGGCTGCTGTGTTTCTCTTGATTTTATTTTTTATTTTAATGTAAAGATATCTAAATAGTAGTATTTTTGACCAAATTTAAATGCACATGAATGTATCCTTTATTTCACTTTACTTTCAGGGTCCTGAAGGTCCAGTAGGCCCCAGAGGAACAAGAGGGCTACAGGTAAAAAATAAAAAAAACCAACACAAACCAACAAGCAACACCCCACCCTATAAAAACAGTACCTGGTTCCCTGGGATTCAAAGCTTTGAAATAATATACCACAATTGTCATGGAATTTTTGAGTCACTGCGTTCAAGGCATCCAAAATCAATCTTCTTAAACAGCAAAATTAACAAGAATCTGGAGGAGCAATCTAGACAAATAAATCATCCTTATAATTTGTTCAGTCTCCAAGACAGCAAATACAGTTCTATTAGAAAACAAAATCACTCATTTCCCATTTAGTGACTTAACTGTTTCATTATCTCACAGAAGTACATGGAAACACTTTAGTCTCTTTTCATCCCAATATTCTTGGACTGACTGCCAAGAAGCTCAGCCCATCCTAGATGTTTCAGTAAATCCTGACTACAGATTACCTTTAATTGTATTCAAATAAAGGGAGAGGCAAATTTTCCCCCTCAACTACCAGGCCCAGTTCCAACTCAGTAGCTGAATCTATATGTGCATCAGAAAGCAAAGCTTCAGTTCTGAAATGTTTGTAAATCATATTTTAATGCAGACTACAGCAAATTAAGATATTGTTTTTCAAGCTGCCATTATTCGGAAAGCTTGAAAAATCTAATTAAAACCACTCCTGTTTTAATAGGGTCCACAAGGACAAACTGGAGATCAAGGGCCTGAAGGCCTGCAAGGATCAAAGGCAAGAACTGCACTATTTCTTCTCTTTCTTAATGTTAAATGGTATTAATACAGCCTCACAACAATAATGCTTTTATCTTTATACCCCATTCCCTTCTCGTAGGGGATGCAGTTTAATGTGACGTTGCTAGCAAATTCTATATTTTTTTATTCTACAATATTCCCAAGAAAGGTCTTCATTTGCTCTTTGTATTGAATTCAGGTCCAAACCACACTCCAATCTCTACTCACAAACAGTTAAAATATGGCAACATCACAGAATATTACTTAGCAGCAATGTAGCATTGCATTTCTTCAGTTTTCAATTTAAAACTACTTTTTCCCCAGGTGCCAAGCAGGAATTCTGTTTGGGATCTCAAACTCTTCTCTTGAAACTGTACATTCCCAAGAATTCCATAGTTCAAAATTAGTAGTCCCACTGTTTACTGATGCTCAGCAGGAGATACCTGAAAATCATAAGGATGAGTGCAGCTCAGGACAGTCTTGCAATGGGCCCTCTGAAGGTGGGCTCCAGAAATCACCCAGTGCTTCACTGCAAGATCCAGTTCGTTCTGTAAACAAAGTATTTTTTGTTTGTTTATTTGAAAAACATATGATTTATATTTATTAAATTCTTAAGATTTTCTGGGTTTATTTCTCACTTACCCCATTGCAAATTCCAGGTATACCAATGGAGATTACTTCATTCTGTGGTTCTGTTGATGACTTGATATCTTTATTGTAGTAGTTTAATGGTAGATGCAAATATCACTGGGTATTACAGACAATTATGGGAACTGTTTTAACTTCATTAAGAGACACCACAGTTATACTTTTCTTCTCAGAAAAACCTTAAACTGAGTAATTCAGCCAAGGCCAATGGGTTCTTCCACTACTGAAAGGAATATTGTTGTGGAGAAAAACTTGAAAATAAGTGTATAAAGGGCATTATTTCTTTTGATAGGACTCTCGATGTCTCCTTTACACCATATTTAGAGTGCCTGCTGGCCAACAGTGAAGCATAGAGCAGCTGGGTGTCAAAACTCTTACATCCCACATGAAACAAAACATTTTTTCTTTTGTTTAATCTAGTATCACTTTGTACAGGAAATACCTACACTCTTAATAAAGGGAATTTTGAAGCATTGAAAGGGTGAAAGGATGAAATACTGTGTAAGACAATTCCAATGGGCTGAAATTCAGGATATACAAAAAATGAACTTACAAACTGAGTTAAACCTGTTTGCCTAAACACCAGTTTATAAGCAGAATTGTTTCTTTTTTTCATTCTTTGAAAAGGGTGAAAGAGGTCTCCCTGGGCCACCTGGCTTGCCTGGAGAGACTGGAATAGGACTGCCAGGCCCAAAGGTACAAGCATCTCTCACCTTCTATATTATGTGTATTGTAGGACAAGAATGAAGACCAAGACAGGTGAGATAATATACATGCTGGTACATGAGAAACTTCAGCCCCCAAATGCTGTTTTTATGGCACTGAAAAGGTATTTTGTATGCTGATCAAAAATGTCTTGGGAAAAAAAAAGTATGTACTTTAAAGAACTTTTTTACAGTAGTTCTTATGCTTGATGTAACTCAATTCAAGCAGTGTATGGCTGAGTAAAAATGCATACCTAGTCTTAAACAAAAATTATTCTGTGAAAAAGAGGTTTGTTGGTTTGGATTACTGGCATAAAGAAAACAGAAACACTATGACAGAAATACTGACTTCTTGGAAAAGGACAATAAGGAATATGATGGGAATAATTAACCATTTAGATTCAACATTGTCTTCTCTCAAATGCAGAATTGAGGATGTCCCCTAATGCTGTGAAACTGCACCAGTTCAATGTCTGTTGAGCCCATATGACTCTGAGGACTCTCAGATTTTCTTTGCCATTCCTGTATTCTACATCAAGTATTTCAAGCACAGAATGTCTGATGAGTTGTTATATGCTGCACACATACAAGTAGCTAAATCGGGCATTTTCAAAATATATCTTTGTTTGAAGGGTGACACTGGTTTGACAGGAAGACCAGGCCCTGTTGGCCCACCTGGAGTTGGTGAGCCAGGACTTACGGTATGTCTCTTTTTTATTTGGCGGGATGGAAGCAGGACAGAAAGGAAAAATTCTCAGTGCTTCCCTGTTAAAAGGGATATATGTGTGTTACCTGATACTACATCTTTTCTTTCTTCCACTAGTTCTCACCTTCATGTATACTATGTCCTCTGATTTTCATTTCCCTCAATAAACTGTAAATGTTTACAATTCCTTAACGTCTCTAATTATCTTAGTCTCCAAAACAGCTATGAAAAAATAACATCTTATGCAAAGTCATATAAATAATTAAATAAATCTGTCCCCTGATAGATTCAAATCCACGTGTGTTAACTTCAACGTTGACTGCTTTTCAGTATCATGAGAACATTAACATCAGCATGGCTTTGAGGGAGAGACACCATTTCAACCACTGTAACATGAGAAACAGTCATACCTAACCAACCTCAATAGAGACATTCAGATTGCGTAAATGGTCCCAGGTAACAATTTGACCAGTATTACCTTCAGTGGAGATAACAGAGGGAGAAAATAAAAAAAAAAAAAATCTGACTTTCAGAATTTATAGTAGGCTTGGCTCTGAAGGCTCTTCATTCTTTTCCTTCCCTTCCTGCTCCTGGTAACTGTAAACTCAACCTCTGTGGTAATTCAGAAAAATCAGTACACCAATTTTATGGTCGCTTTTTTTCAAAGTGTCAGACAGCACTTTTACTAGCCATTTACAATACAGCAGATTCTGATTCATTTCTCATCATCTGGATGAAAGACCCATAGTGCAACCACAAGGGAAATTTTGTGCATTTTTGTTTAAAAAAAAAAAAAACTAAACAAAACAAAAAAAACACCACACAAAAGGTGTTTTTAATATTTACTTTAAAGTGTATTTGCTTCAATAGAGTTTTCTTTTTATGGCTGAATGCAGTGTAATTACCTTTAGCTCAGAACTAGACATAATTCTAAAGCTCTGTGCAGAAGAAGCAAAAGCATATTTAGGCTATGCAGAGCCAAACCTATCAGCATTCTATGATGTGTGTGTAATCTCAAGGAATAAATCAGAGCCAAAAAAAGAACCCAAAACAGATGCAGGAAAACACTGTGAAGCAGGCTCAATATGCACAGGTTTTGACCCTGCATTTAGTGAAAGGTTTTAGTTGTCATACTCGCCACTTGTGCTCTTGTCAGATCTGCTTGCAAAAAGAGAAGGGCACACTATTATTCTCTTCACCAATTATAGTCAAATCTCTCTACAGCTATATCTCCTTCAGTATGACTCTACACGGTCTTTAATCTGGTTCTCCCTGTCTCTCATGATTATACTGATACATTAATAAGGATTAGTAACAATTTGTAAACAAAACTAAAATTTAGGGAATGAAGATTTCAAAAGTATAAGGAATAGGAATTTCAGCAACATAACCTGTGATTCATAAGTAAGCAGAAAAGTAAAACTGTCTGCCTTGTTATTGCTGCAGGCCAGAATATTCATCATTTATTCACTGTGAATATCGTATTACTGTATTATTTTTAATAGGTTATAACTACAACAACATTTAAAGACATGCTTAAAACTGACAATGACATAGAACATGCTACTGTTTATTTGAGTGATTAATATATATTCTAGGCCATTTTAAACTTATGTTAACAGGGGCCTCAAGGACCACAAGGTGTTCAAGGAGAAAGAGGTTCACCAGGAGAAGGGCTTCCAGGAGCAAAGGTATGGCAGTCCAAGGGTTTTAAGACCAGAGCGGCACCATTAAATAAGTGCATGCCAAAAAAAGTCCATAGCAGACACAGGAATCTGAGAAAGTAGCTTGTAAATTAATATTAAAATTTGGCATCAATTAACCCAATATATATTCACAGAATTCAGTTGGTCCAAACATGACTTCTAGGCACAGCTAGCTTTTGGGGCCTGTAAAGCCCATATTTAATTCACCTGATGCTTGATTTGTGGGATCTAAGCCTGGAAAGAATTCCAGATATAATTTTAAAACAGCCTTGAGCATCTGACTTTAAAAAAATATTATAAAAGTGATTCCTAGATGAAAAATTTAGCTTTTTGTTGTTGCTTTTTTCTAAATCCTTATAGAGATCTTTGTTGTCACTAAAGACAGGCTTAGTTCTAAGCTGGTTATGCCACTGGCTTATGCATTTTAGCAGAAGTCTGAATTCAGTTTGTGGGAAAAGAAAGCTGCTGTTACTAAAAAGTAATGACAGTAGTAGTTGCACCTACATGGATGGACTCACTAGACCCACTGCTAGCTCCTTTTCCTGCCTACTGAAAACCAACTCCCAGGCTGAGTTGTCACTTCAAGCTTTGGTTACAGTAACAAAGTGACACAGCTTGTACATGAGCTAAATAAATAACTAAATGGTTTACTCACTTTTATGCATGCACGAAGGCAATTTTGGTTGGGAAAAACAATAAAAGACTATTTCGCAGTTGCAGACCCCAACTGTCTCTTTACTAAAAATGTTAGTATTTGTGCTTAGCACAATGCTCTAGTCAGCTAGGTTTAAATTTGACTGCTGCTAGCAACATAATACCTTCAAACATCCAATATATATTTTATGATCAATTATTTAAATTAGCTAACCTCATTGTTGATGGCTTGTATTTGCTTATCAGATCTCATGCATGAAAACAAACAAAAAAATGATTTGAAGAAAATACATTTAGAAATCACTCCATTACCACCGAAATACTAATTCATGTGGGAAGAAACACTACAACTAATATGTAAAGGACAGCAGAAATGCACAGTGGGAACAAGTACGGAACAACCAAAACTATTGAGCAAATGAGATAGGCAGCATAAAGTGGAATTCTGCCAGTCTTATTGGAACTCTTGGTTCTACAAAAAATGTACTACTTTTTACTGACAAGTCTGACCTGGAGCCAAGCATGTATCAACAGAGTCTATATGTATCTCTAATCCTATTTATAACTGCCAAGTATGTCAGCTCTCTGGTTTTAAACACATTTTAAACAGGTGATTGTTAATCTAAAGCAAATTTTACAGTTGCTTTTTTCAGAACATTTTTACTACAAGCTCATAGTTGAGTAAAAAGGAAAATGAAGGCAGGTGTTCTAAAGCATCAGGAGTAAAGAATGTTATTTTAATCTACATAATATATTTCAGTCAAAGTTAAAATGATGGAATTGGTTACTAGGGAGAGAAGAGACATGTCTGGGGCATAACTTTATTGCCTTGGGTGATTCTGTGACAATTTATACAAGCTAACTATCTGTCTCTACATGTTTTATTAACAGAAGTACAGGAAAGCACAATATTTGTATCCTTATTAGTAACCTGCATTTTCCCCAGACCACTATTTTGTAAATAAACATTTAGAAAGACAACGACATTTACAAATGGACATCTACAGTAATAGTTTGGCCTGGTCTTTATTCTGGCAAAATTCCTGGTGAGAGCAAGATCCTTATTGCCACACTTCAGTGAGATTAACCCATGAGAGAAAGAAGCAGAATTCAGCTTTCAGCAAGTCTCAGTATTCAGCACTGCTGACATTTAACTCAGCTGCAGTTTCGCCATTGATTCGAGGGAAAGCAGGGCAGGACCTTAAGCAACTGAGGTGGGCAGAAAGATAAAAAGAAGCTTGTTCAGCTCTTTCATCAGCAATCTCAAACTGCAGAGTAAGCTCATTTGAATGGATGACCTCTTTGGTATCCTGGAAAACAGATCCAGGAGCTACTTTCTGGTTCTCATTTTGGTTTTCATGATGACAGAGCAGTGTTTCTAGTTACTTCAGAGAGAACAGCTGTGTGTTTCTACAGTTAACAACATACTATTATTTCATGTAGGGAGACCGTGGTTTTGATGGACCAAAGGGCCCTCGTGGACTTCCAGGCATCAGCATAAAAGGTGAAAAGGTGAGCAGTAAGTAAACACACCAGGGGATTAACAAAGTGCCAATACATAATACAGGGAATACGGGGTTGATATTCACTACAAAAGGTGTGACAAGGCAAGGAACCCACAATAGACCCTGGATAATATGTTATTTTGTCGAGAGATTTATGCCCAATAAACTCTCCCAACCTATTTTAACATATCTCCATGTTAAAATAGGAAATGTTATAAAAAGCCTCTGATTCTGTGGGAAAGTTAAGGCTTGGAAAGGGAAAAAGAGACTAGCAGTTGTGTGCAAGTGACCTAGCAGTGAACAAATGCATATACAAAAGATAAAAGGTCAGATTCCCAGCTTCACTGACTTCAAGAGAGGTTAAGTCAACATGCACTAGCACCAGAGCTGTGCCAGGTTGTTTCCGAATCTCTACACAACTAAGCAACTCTGCTTTGTTTGCCAGGGTGAATTCGGTCCTCCTGGTTTACCTGGGCCAATTGGATTACCTGGAATTGGAATCCAAGGAGAGAAGGTGCAGTTTTCACTTCCCCCTCTCCCCACAACTAAATGTGTGGTAACAGAGAATATTTTATTTTTAATAATTACTTAACTAATCTTTTCAGGGAGTGGAGGGCCCAAAAGGACCACCTGGCTCTAGAGGGCTACCAGGACAGGGACTACCTGGACAAAAGGTTAGGGAATTTTCTGAAGTAAAAGCTACTATGCTGTTTTTACCGTTATGTTTCCTGATAAAAAATGGTGTCTATCTTTATGCTTGTTAAAAGTGCTGAAAACCAATGTAAGTATTGACATAGCTGCAGGAAATTATTTTCTTTATTAATACTATTAAACTGTACAGCAGATCCCACTCCACTGAAAAGCCTTGATAAACCAATGCCATAGGTTTTGGCTTGGCTCACCACAGAACCTTAGAGGCACCACACATCAGACAGTGAACTGCACTTTGTCTCATATGTTTCCATAGAAAGGGTTGTCTGCCTTGAACTTGCAGTTTCATCATGCAGGTGCAGTGAATCAATTCCAAAAAGTAGTTGCACTTAACAGAGAACACCACCAAAATTTCAATATCATATTTTATCCTCACTGTACTGTTTCCATTCCAGAAAAATGCACACGTATCTTACAGACTGGCTGCCTTCCTTGTTACTTCTGCTGCCTGTTGTCTCACCTGACTTTGTGCATTTACTGTATCTAGCAGTTAAGAACGGTCCAAGGTATAATGAAGATTACCTTGGCTGAAGGAAAACTGACAGGATAACTTAGCCTTCACTGATTCGCAAAATACAGAACCGTTAATGTAAGACGTCGCCCTTGAAGTGTTTGGAATGGAGATTTAAAGTGATTTTCTGAAAGAGGTGACAGATGAAGTTCTGAATGACTGAAGGCTATTAAAGGATAGCATAAAGGAACTAGAGGTGTAAGTGGGTCAAGGGTCCACACCAGGTAAAGTATTCTGCAGCATGAGAGATCACCTCTTACATTTTAAGTGACTGTACAGGGATATGTTTTACCACCAGTAAAAAGAAAGAGAAGGATGAATTGTCTGTGGATGTCAGATATGCTCCTGAAATATCAGCTTTGGTGGGAAACATTCACAGGGACATATCGTTATAGGTTTACAGCATTAATCATTTCCACCAACAACTTTTTTGTGACAGCTCAAAACATACTGCAGATTCCAAATCTTTGTGACCAAGGGTTTAACACATCATAGTAAAGACAATATCACACTAATCTTTCTTTAAATATAAGCAACCAGGAATATGCTTTTGGCTTTTTCCATGACAATGCTGTTAAAAACTATTTCTTCTTAAGGGTGAACAAGGCTTGCCAGGAGAGACTGGAGTGCCAGGAGAAAGAGGTATTGGAGAACCTGGCTCTAAGGTACATTGTTAAGAGAGGAATTGCTTTATTTATTTATTTATTTATTCTGATTTTAAATTTGTGTTTCCTGAGTATCCTTTCTGGAAGCACTTAAAAATAGCTTTAGAAATAAAATTTAGGTTCTTAGTCTTTTAAAATTTTTAACACAGACTTTCAATAACCTCCAGAAATTACAACATTTTAAATACACCAGTCTGTATAAAAGGAGTAAGATTTATTGTGACTGAAAATTTCCATGTGCCTGGCCCACACTCAAGTCAGTGTTGCATACAGCTGACCTACAGCTCTGTTCAGAAGACCATCCAGAATATTAAACAGTTGCCAGAATTTGCAGTCCTCAGCATAAGCTAAGCCATAGCCAGAGCTGCTGAAAAAATACACTGAACACTGGTTCTTGTGCTGTTCCTTCCCTTTTCACACAGGATAGGATATAAACAGAGCAGTAGCTACATCCTCACACCTTCATACCGGAAACAACCTGTGCTACTAGACAGAAAGCAGACTTGCTTAGAGGAGAGGAAGCTGTAACCAGGTTATCTTAGTGCTAATGTGATCAACATATTAACCAGTCCCTATGTCATTAACAGCTAGATTAAAATAAAATAAGGGAATAGATGAAAAAGTACTTTTGTGATAGTGGAAAAGCAAAGGGTTGTCCTGGTTTTGCTCTTGTCTTGATCTGGGACAGGGGTTGGAAAAGAAAATAAATTGTTCAATTTCTTTTTTTAATTTCACAAAATATGACAATGTTGAGTGAATCCATTTAACTCCAAAGGATCCCATTTAATCTAAAACCAGGTCAGGCTCCTGAACCTTACATAAGTAGGCCAATGACAATTCCACTGCCATTAATAGATTTGCACTGATATTCACCAACAAGATGTCAATCATCATGTCACAGTCAGTTCTATCTGATATTTACTTCAAATGCTGACACTTAATTAAATCATGGCATTATTTTTTAAGAATGAGCTGGAGCATTAATAGCTAATAATATTAATAATTCCAGATACATGAGAGCTGTCTTTAAAAAAAAGGGCAAGATGTGTGTTCATATGCATAAATGTTTGTTATAAATATACACAGTTTAGTAAACTTTTAAAAATAGATTTACTTCATTCAGAGAAATAATAGTACCAAGTCTGCATTTAATAGAAGGACTTACTTTTTATTGATGTCAGGGTGAGCCAGGCCCTTCAGGACTGGCAGGTCTGCCTGGTCTTCCAGGAGAAGATGGAGCCCCTGGACAAAAGGTTGGTTCATCTCTGTCTGCCGTCTACCTGCTTCCTTTCAAGCATTCCTACTGTTCTCCCTGTGCTGATACCCAAACCTAGAAGAAAGTGTTCATGGACAAGAGGAAAAGTAGCATATTTTTCAATTAAAAATATTATTTCAAACATACTTTTTTTAGCTAAAGCTTTTCTTTTTTTTTTTTTTTTTTTTTTGAGTTAAGGGTTGTCTTATGTTGTTGTCAGTTGTTGGCTTTTTTTTAATTCACCAAACATCCTGCAACTCAGAAGGGAAACTACTAAAATGGCTAGAGGCAACCCTTCATAGCCTCCTGATCATGGTATTTTCCTAGAATCAGAAACCCCATATATTTAAAGATTATATACTCGGAGTGTTCAGCCATCACTAAGGAAACATGCTACTTCACGCATTCCACCCAGAGTCGCTTCTGAATCCCGGGTCTGCTGACTTCAGTAGGAGTTTTGCCATTCACTCTTAAAGGTCTATGATTTTAATGAGCTTATTCAAGTGAATACAGAGCTGATCTTGCACGATGTCTATGCAGTACTCTGAAATGTTGCTTTCATTTTTCTATTCCAGGGTGAACCAGGGTTACCTGGTCTTAGAGGTCCTGAAGGTACTCCAGGGATCGGAATCCAGGGGGAAAAGGTGAGAATTTCTTACTAAAGGTGACATTCAAAATTGTAATGTTCCAGGAACAGGTTTGGCAAAGCCTTCTCTTTTTTGGTCTAAGTAATGAAAAAATGTACCTCAAGTAACAGGTTAATGAGCACTTCTATAAGAAGTTAATGCAGAGTTTATTTTAGCCTCAGCCTAAAACAACAACTTTTTAAATAGTGAAGTTAATAGACCAGCCAGGACATCTTTTTCATAAATTCGTTTTGGAAATGACAGCACAGCAGTTCAGCAGCTCAGTTTCCAGTACCTGTGCTAGTATCTGGTCCAAGAAGTTCACAAATTGCTAGCTGGGAATACTATTTCTCTTAGAAGTAATAACTGGGTCCATCTTTTAGGTTCTGGCTCTTGTACTGGTCTTCTGTACTGATTCACAGATGCAGAAGTAATTCCAGTTTCTCATATGAGCATCAGTATCCTGTGAAATAAAGACACTGGAAATTGCTGTAACGGTTGTCCAAGACATTGGACAAGACATACAGAGATTAAATGTTACAATAGAAGAGAAATAAAGATATTAAGTATCACAATTGCACAAAGCTGGAAGGACTGAAAAACAGTGTAGGAAGGAAAATCAAGGCATCCACCTGATTTCAGATTACTTTGGTGGGGAATGCATGCAGATGACATAAAATTTATTACTGTATTGAAACATTTTCAGAATTATTCTGGACTCATAGCTGTTTCTTTTTTTTGTTTGTTTGTTTGGGGGGGGGGACATAATTTTTACAGCCTAATAATATGCTTAAATAGCAGTTATCCCTTTACAAACTTCACACCATTCTTAGCTTTTTTTGCCTGGAAGTATAAGCTGGTCAATCAGAGGGAGCATCATGGTCAATTAATTGGCCCTATTGAAGTAAAAAAAAAAGTACCTTTGAGTGAATTATCTTTTCCTGCTTTGATTTTTTTCTCTTAGATAGCATCTTTTTCACGTAATTACTTAATTTTTCATCTGCAAGGACGCAAACTGCAAGACTCCTTTTGGTTATTATTTTTTTCACAGTATTCAATGGTAAGTCAGCTAGTTTAATTTCAGATGAAATCTACATAGTGTTAACTGGACAAATCCAAAACTGGACAATTAGTGAGCAGAATTAACTGATTTGACAATGAAGGCAATAGGAATAGACTATGTGCACCAACTACGAGATGGAACTTTGCTATCTTTCACTGATATTTACAATTAATTTCAGTTAGACATTCTTCATATTATTTGGGATGTGTGATATGTCTTCTCCATTTCTGTAGGGAGATCAAGGTCAGAGAGGTATACGTGGATTAACAGGACCAACAGGAGTACCTGGACCTGCTGGAGATAAAGTAGGTTTATTACAGCATTATGTGTGTGAAATAGCCCCCCAAAGCTGTGCTTTGTTCTAGATCTCAGAAACAACTGTCCTAGAATGAACTTGATTCTTAAAAAAATAATTTCAAAAAAAAGTTCAGCTAAGGCTTCTCTTTGCAAGAAACAGCATGATCCCTGTAAACATCTAGAAGCATTTTTTAAAAAAACTTTGCATTTACCATATCGCTTCCCTGTCAGCTTAGAAAAAGTTAAGGGACAGTGCTGGTATTTTTATGCTGAAATATTTGGGAAGATAGTATGGTGCATAGCATATACATATGTGACAGGACTTTATTTTTCCTTACACTGACTCATGGCTGATATTCTTTTGTGGATTTTGAGTTTCTATTTCTACTCAGCACTCACTGAAAGTGAGAAGGGCTACTCCAGGTTTCTCCTCTAGTCTCTTATTAAGTCTTTTGCTATTTATACACACAAGAATCTGTATTTCCACATAAGATGAAAAATAAGAAGGGGTGAAAAAGTACACCAAAAGGACTATTTAAAAAAATCTACTCTTAACAGAAAAATACGTGTTTTCAGTATACCTACACAGCTGGGCAGCAGCCTTGAGTGCTGGATGTGCTGGACCAAGTCTCGAATACACCAAGAAAGGGATTTCTAATAACATGTTTTTGTTCAGTGACTGAGAAGAATCTCATTTCCACTGACAAATCAGAACTATGCTCGTTAACAGTTCTTCAAATAGCTATGTTTCACTTCACATAGAATATCTGAAATTCAAATAGAATCTCAATGGAATATTATAAATTGTTGCATAAATATTTTCTCTGAGATGCTCATGCTCGCTTTCAGAAAAAATCCATCATTTTTGCTCTCCTTCCTTCACTGCAGGGGGAGCCTGGTGCACCAGGACGTCCTGGAATGCCAGGCCCTCCTGGAAGAGCTGTGCCTGGACCAAAGGTAACATTCACACTCCAGCTCCTAGTGCTTATCAACACAGGGCGAAAACTGTGAATTAGGCCACGCTACTATTCGTGTAAATAATTTCAGTGTTATGAGGTCGACTAGAACGTCTTTCTTATGAACACAGTTATGGATTGTACCCAGTCTAGTCACCACCATGCCCTGGTATTACTGTATGCCATCCTGAGGTGTGCCCTACCATTTCTTTGTTTTGGATAACCTTGAATACCAACATACTTTTGATATATATAATTTTTATATAATTTTT